ATATATATATATGATTTGGATATCAGAGAGGAATAATTCAAAAATTGTCGCGTTGCGTTTCAATGTTTTTTCCCCATTGTTCGTATAGGTGATATTTTTTCTTCTTCATTTTTATAATTACGTATACTATTGAAATGATTATACTCGTCATAAATATTCACTCTATATCTTTTTCAATTTTGACGTATGAAACGTATGAGAAGCACGTTTTAAGTTCTCTTACAGAATATTTTACATATTTTTAGCGAAGCTAAAATACTTCTACTAATTCATAGAAGGGTTCCACTCTTCCACTATTTATAACTCCCGTTTTTCCTTTTACCTTTATCCGTTGCTTTTTTCCTCGCGGCCAGAGTGTGCAACATCACGAAAGATCAGAGAGCGAGAATTAAAGAAATTCCTTTGAACATGGACGTCCAAAGGGCCGCGCTCCCGGAATACGTAATTGACATAAATATTTACCATACCGCGCCACTGTCACCGTCGCGAAATATCCCCGTGAGGGGGAGGGATTGCTGATTTTTCCCCGTCGATAAATATTTTATGAGGCCGCTAATCAAACGAGGGGTAGACACGACCCTCGGATTCTTGCCTGGCAAAGAAGGGGAATGGGGGGAAAAAGTGCCTCGATATCTCGGGCCACTCGCAAAAGTTCTACGCGAAAAGCCAATCGTTTAAGGAATTCTTCCCCTTCCCTCCCTTCCCCACCTGCGAGAAATTTTCGTAGAACGATCCTCTCCGACAGCCTAACATATTCGACTCATGAATTCTTAACGAGCTCGCCAACGGGAAGAGCGGGCAGAGAAAGTATCGCGACTTGTCCTACCGACCCACCCTCCCCTTCTGTAAACGAATTCCCGAGGAACGAGGGTCACCAAGGGTGGATGAAGGGGAGGGGGAAAAAATACCAAGACGAGGGACCAACCATCATCCCATCGCTGTGTAGACACGATATTAACCTTCGTTACGCGTGTTTGAATTTCCCTACAACGACTCGGCCGGAGGGAGAAAGGGAATTTTCTAAAGCGGCGATAGCAACTGATCAACCTCGTCTCCCTCCCTCAAAAAAGAAGAGGAGATGAGAGAGAGAGAGAGAGAGAGAGAGCAGCATAAAACTAATTGCGGCGGACGGTGCGCGCCTTCCACGCCGCTTCTTCACCCGCTCCACACCCTATCGTCTTCATCGCAGCCTGTGAACCAACCGCCCTTAATAGCGTGCGGTTATTACAGAGGAACGACAAGCGGCGCGATTATACGCACCCTTTACCCGCTTCACCCTATCAAACCACCCCCCTTCGTTCCTAATTTTCACCTATTTTACCGTGGCCCCACCAACTTCCTTCCTTCCTCCTCCTCCTCCTCCTCCTCCTCCTCCTCCATCGTTTCAATCCCACCGATTCCGAGTTTTGAAAATAGTAGAACAGGAAGGAGAGCGCGAGTGAATTTTCTATGAAGCGGTAGAAAGGGGAAAGACACGAAGAATATTAGGGCGATTTGGAAAAAAAGGATCGTTTAAAGGAACAATGCAAAGCGTTTAGTCAATTGCGAAGTTTCGATGATTGAGTTAAAATTCAAGTTGCGGTGATGAATACGATAGAGGCTGCGTGTTCGCATAAATCATCCGCACGCGCAATCATTTTGGCGATGGAGGGAGCAATTTCTTTCGTCCCGCTCGTATTTCTCCTTTCTTCGAGAATAATTCCGAGATTCCGTAAATCTTTCGGGACAACTCTTGCGAGAGGATACGGTGATCATCTTCGAGACGCGATGCTTGCACTGGAATCGATGGGAATTTTGCCAAATACTTTTTTTTCTGCTTCTAGATGTGTTTCGTTTTAATCCTTCCTTCTGCATTCCCTAATTTTATTTTGCAAAGTATATTTTGAAAAATCGAAGAAGGAAATTTGTATACTTCGGATATATATTTCTTTTGTTATATTGATTAACTGTAGATACGGTATAACGCGTTGAAATAACGATTTTTATCTCTTATAGCTTGAATTATAAGTAGAAACTTTACGAGTAGATATTAAGTAAAAAGAAGCGGCGCGAGGAATTCCAAGTTACAAACAAGGGTAGATCAGAGCAAGTTTCTTCAACTTGTGAATTAAAATATATCTTCCTTATGATCTTCGTGATCGATGAAAAGCGTACTTTCCTCGTATAGTTAAAATTTGTTAGAATTCGTTAGGGGAGGCTTAAACTTTAGCTGGCCGGTTAGTTAGTAATTGCACAGTTCCACCAAGACGCGCTACGGAGCACAAGTTTCTCTTTCTCTCTCACATTCCTCCCCTCTTTTCGCTCCTCCATCTTCTTTTCCACGATTTACGCCGAGGATCCACTTCCGCTAGAACATTTCGCCAAATGGCCCCCGACGATTATTCGCGAAATTAACTTCAATATTCTGACACGCGTTCCTGCCTAATTATTTTTTATTATTTCGAGTAGAGGGTCATCAGACAAACAAACAACTTCCTCGTTTCATCTGCATTTACCTCTTTCTACGTTTAAGCAGAATTTATCATTCGAATTGATAAATTCGTTTTAAATTAATTCGTTTGCATAATAGACGAAATTTCGTTTATTTAATTTGGTTAGTTTTGTGGAATTTTCTTATTGTTCAGTTTTGGAAAGAAAGTTAAGGATCGATGTAATTAGAGAAAATGCTATTATACGCAGATGCAATAAATTTTTTAATGGGGAGAGATGTAATAATAGATCATATATATTTTTGTGATAAATGCTTGATCTATACTACTCGTTTTACTTTACTTATTTAATAAGTGAAGATTTAAATTATTTATTAATCTCTTGTTTTTCTGACAAATTACAATTGATTATTCTATTTTACATATTATTTCCCTTACTCATTTTGCAAAATTATTCGCAATATTTTCGTATGTGTCATTTTCCCTATTCTTAATCTCCAGATAGAAATAACATTAATTTAATGACCCTAACATTTTTTTCTTACACTTCGTGCAAGATATTTCTTTCAAATTTTTATAGTTAGTATCAGTTTTTAGATAATTTCTCCATATAAATTCATGGAAACGATAAAAGAACAAATTCCCGTAGCGGGAATCCCCCCTATTCCCATCGAAACAAATGATCCTCCGTTGATCCCTAAGAAACGCCCTTTCTCTGAAACCCTCCCTGATCTTTCCTCAACGTTGCAACGTTGTGGACGAACGGCTGAGGTTTCATTTGGTCGAAACAGGTTCTCACGACGCCACGTACGACGAGCAGAGGATATGAGATTGTGTAGTGCCAACTGTGCTCACCTCTAACAAGCTTTCACCGACAGATATTCCGCGGTGTCTGTCGCGATTGCGTGTTTCCAAGGGGAGCGTTTCGACGAATCTTAACCACCAGGTGTTATACGGATCAGGTCGAAGGGGTTGCTAACGGATATAATCGCGCGGATAATCGCGTTTATCAGGTAGAGAGAGAGAGAGAGAGAGAGGGGGGGGAGGCGTTTAATCGGGCAAATTGATATCGCGTTGCGCCAGAAACGTAGAGTCCGTCCTTCCCTTACGCGTTGCTCTTCTTTGGAACCAATTTTCCCCTTTTATCTATCTCGCAATTTTCGCGAATGAATTAATTGAAAAAAAAAGAAAGGGATTTCCGTTAAGAATTATATATTATTATTTGTTCTACGATCATTCCTGAAATGAATTTTTGAAACAAAAATGTAGGATTAAAATGGCGCGCATGTTGAAAGTAATTCGAGTTAAAATAAGTTTGTATTTCAATTTCACGGCGAGGCGGAAGGGAATGAAATTGCAATTTTATAGAGGTTTTATTTTTTATGTATTATAGAGGTTCTAGTTACAGAGTTTCGACTGTATTTTTTTTTTTTTATCACCTTTGTTTGTTGTCTCGCGCTTTTTTTGTAAAAATATTTTTCAATCATTTTTTTTTTTAATTTGTAAAAATAAATTGTTTTCAAAGCATTTCGATCGTTTCACACCGATTTAAAGCGAGCGTGTAATCACGCGGTTTACACAATCTCCCTTTTACCATACCACGTGAAATAACTCGCAAGGAATTATAAGTAGGTTCGTTAGAAAAGAAAGCTAGTTAGTTGATCGCTATATTATACGGCACCCGGTTGAGGGAATGAACAATTTTCTTGGGATTGTTTCAAGGTTGATTCGCATCCATCAACGTCCACGACGATTTTCCGTTGCGCGTAACGCGGTTTCGAAACGAAAGCCGGTTTAACCGTTGCGTGTCGGACAACAATTCTTTCGTTTCCCGGACTGACTAACGATTGAACAATTACTGCCGCGGAAACATTGCTACGTATGCGGTACAGTAATTAGAAATAAATTGCCGGTACTGGTCCAATCTCGTTCGTGTCCTTTTGTACGTGCTTAAAAAGTATCCCGTCGTGGCAGGTACCGTTGTTTTCGATTCACGCGACAATTCTAGATGGTAAACAGATTGGAACACGCCATTCCGACATGCGAATAAAAGTATTCAAATTCCACGGGTCGGAGTTTCGATAAAAGAAGAGAGATAGAAGGTAACAGAGAAAACAGTAGGATAGGATAATTATAGATAGTTACGAGTATAATGTATAATTCGTTTTACAATTTAAATATAAATGATTGACGTTTCTAATGATAAATGATTGTCTTTTACTCGTCGAACATTGTTTTATTATTCTTTCGTGACAAAGATTATATTATTATGTAGTAATTACTGTCTTGTTCTTCCTGACGAATAACTGACCTATACTACTCGTCTTATATTACATGTTTGACAAATGGGAGACCTATATTACTAACCCAACCATGACAGCCTTATTCTAGTTGGTAACAAATGACTAAGTTGCACTATTTGTCCGAGAATCTCTATGAGAGTCTTAACCTATTTAACTGATAAATGTCTGATCTATACTACTTTCATTCTTCTTAACAAATGAATCATTAATCGCTTGCCTTATTCTATTTTGACAAACAATAAACTTATATTTTTTTATTTTGTTTCAGTGCTCGAACAAATAGCAGATCTATAATACAAAGTTAATAAGGATGATATCTTTGGATACTAAGAAAACTATAAAAAAGAAAGGTTAACATCGCAAAAGAATTGCGATTGCAATTGGTAATGACAATAATTATAGAGATAAGTATTTCAGATAAATATAATTAAATATATACTTAAGCAAAAATTTTTGTCCCAAAAATAAAATAAAAATTATATGCAATTTTCTATTATATTTCCCTCATACATATTTCCCTAATATAATTTCTAAAATTGTAAAATATGGACAAAAATTTTTGCTTTTATGAATTGTTTGAAAAATTCACGTGTCACTTCCTGTCCACTTATACTATTTTGATATAAATTCGAAAAATTGGAAAAATATAGCAAATACAGAAAATATTAGAGAAATGGAAGTAAAATGGAGGAAATAATAGAATCAAAAATCATTTTACAATATAATGGATAATCTGCAATCAAAGGATCATGTAAAAAGAGAAAAAAATATACGAAAGAGAAGATATATCAGTGACTGTGTGAGCGTAATACGAGTATCGTGGATATCAACCATAGACGAGGTATAATATATATATATACATATCTCCCATGGAATAAAGAACCTATCAATCCTGTTGTATCATATCTTTCATATACTTTTTATATACAATTTATATATTGGATTTAATTATTTCTTAAAGTATTAATTTCTTACTTTACGTGATCACAAAAATAGCAGTAAAAAGGTAAGTAAATAAAATAATAAATAAATATAATAATTTATAAGTAAATTTTTCGAGTTTCAGAAATTTCAAGAATTTGATGTCATTTCCAAAAAATTGGCAAAATTTGTGAAAAAATTTTTAAAGCGAGCTGGTCAACTCATATTCTCCTAATAGTTTTGCTATTTTCCTAAAGTCGGAAAATTAGCAAAACTTTTCATTCGCTCAAGAGTTTCGACAATTCCAAAAATTTGACGTCATTATCAAAAATTGAAAGTGTAAATATAAATGTACATAAACCAAAAATGTAAACGTAACATTAAAAATGCAAATAAACACATTACTTTTTGTAAACCGAAATTGTTATTCATTTCCCACTCCCAAAATTTTTACAATTTCCGAATTATAAAAATTCCAGGAATTTGACGTCATTTCTAAGAACTGCTAAAATTCTTGGAAAAATTTCTCGAGCGACCTCCTACTAAGTTATGTTCTCCTAATACAAAGTCGTATTTTCGGCCAAAAATTTTGCTGGACTTCAGATTTTCGCGAACGACCTCCTACCAAGTTATGTTCTCCTAATACAAAGTCGTATTTTCGGCTAAAAATTTTGCTGGACTTCAGATTTTCGCGAACGACCTCTTACCAAGTTATGTTCTCCTAATACAAAGTCGTATTTTTGGCCAAAAATTTTGCTCGAGTTCATGATTTCGCGAACGACCTCCTATCAAGTTATGTTCTCCTAATACAAAGTGGTATTTTCGGCTAAAAATTTTGCTCGAGTTCACGATTTCGCGAACGACCTCTTACCAAGTTATGTTCTCCTAATACAAAGTCGTATTTTTGGCCAAAAATTTTGCTGGACTTCAGATTTTCGTGAACGACCTCCTATCAAGTTATGTTCTCCTAATACAAAGTCGAAAAATTTACAAAAATAAGTAATCATAAAAAATACATAAAAGGTAAGTAGTGGTAAGCATTTTTAGAATTAAGAAAACTTGAAAAAATATATTACCACAAAAGAAATAGCTGTAAAAGGTAAGTAAATAAAAAATTAATAAAGGTAGGTATAGGTAAGTATATTATAACAGATTTTGGAAATTACGAAAATTTTTGAAAATAAACATTGAAAAATGTAAATAAACAAACCGAGAATGTAAATAAACATTGAAAAATGTAAATAAACATTGAAAATGTAAATAAACATTCCAAAGTTTGTAAACAAACCGAAAATTCAACTCCCGGGCCCAGAATTCTTTAAATTTTCGAAAATTTTTGTAAATAAACATTGCAGAATGTAAATAAACAAACCGCGAATGTAAATAAACATTGAAAATGTAAATAAACAGACCAATGTTTGTAAACAAACCGAAATTTTGACAACCATTGAAATAATATGCGAAATTTCTTTTACTTACCTCTTTCATACTTACCTTTTTTACTTACCTCTTTTTTTCTGAATACTTACCTTGCCAAAATGTTACGTTTTTTACATTTTTTTAAACATTTTACTTATTTCTAAAGGACAAAGTATATGGTATGGAGTTAGGAGGGTTTAATGGGATACATAGGATAGATGAATTAGGAAGGATAGAGCAGGATAGATAGATAGGTAAAGTTGGATGGATAGAGTAGGATAGATACATAGGATACGATAGGTTTATATAAATAAAAATAAAGATATACAAAATATCTATAAATATATATATATTTTATTTATAAAATGTACATGAATGAAATACATGTGTATTAAATGAATGATAATAAAATCTTAATGGCAATTATACGCTGCGTAAGGTGAAATTTGGTCGCGGTCATTGTATTTCTGGTGAAATATCGTGGACGTCCATAGAATCCAATAATATGCAATTTCAAGTTTCAAAGTAAGTTCGATGGTCTCTCGCCGAATCGATGTAATATAGGCTACAGGGTCGTGAACTTCTCGTTTTGTTCGTACTAAAAAAAAAAAAAAAAAAAAAAAATTAGAAAAAAAAAAAAGAAATAAAGAAAATGGGAGGAAAAGAACTGGCAAAACAGCGAAGGTGTTCCGAACAGATGAAACCAATAACAAGTTCAATAATCAAGTTTTATCCTTGCCTCTTTTGTAACTTCGTTATGCGTTCTCATCTTGAAACTTTGAGTTCGATACACGTTGCAAACGTTCATCCAGTCTTTCACGTACATTGAAAATACGTACCTTCTCTTTCTCTATTCCAGAAATATTCCATTCTTTTCCAATATCTTAGTAATATTGGGTATATGCCGAATATTTAAAGTCCATGACAAATATAAAAGTTTTCACGATGTTTCGTATAGAATCGATGAATCAATTTGTGATGAATAAACGAAAATGAACGCTCGGTCCTTTTTTGGTACATTTAACAAATTGATAGAAAATACGGTACAGCAAATATATTGCTTACCCAGAATAAAAGATGCTTGGTAGAGCGGTATTCCGGTTGCGCGACTTCTTCGCTCGGCATATGCTCCAATGACGATGATAACGACAACGTCCGTGCTTTTGGCCACATGCCTGAATCTTTTCGGGAAAATTCTGGAGTGAACGAAATGTGCGCGTGCGCGCCAATAAACGAAGACGAATTGATAGGATTTTCGCGGAAAAGAGACGAAAGATCGTCGGTATATTTTCGCATAGACAACTTTATCCGATTGGATGGGTATGATGAAACGAATGATCGAAATTCTTGGAATGGAATATGCATTTTGGCATAAAATGCAAAAAAATGTGAAAAATATAATTTTTTAACGCGAATTTTCACAAGAAATTTTTTCAAGTCTATCGGATAAAACTTTACCTATGTGTATTTTCTTTAGGTTATCCTCAAAAAGTTTATCCCTCGATGTTGTTTTAAAAAATATTGGCAAAAAACGTTTTCAGCATATTATATTCCATGGTTTATTTACGTAAATTTTCATGGAACCACGTGCGCACGTGCTTGTACGGGACGAGTGAAAGCAAACATTTCACGGAAAGTCGCATGAAAGTGAATTACGAGAAGGAAAACTGGGTAAAACCGAGACGCAGCTCGGTATTTCATAAAAGTACCCGGCTGTTTGTTGAATAATACAGTTGCAAAATACACACTTGGTGCGTTTAAATATACTAGCAATTTCACGTATAACCGATTTAAACGAAACCGAGAGAAAAACTTTTTAAATTGCGCGTTTCATAAATTTTTAAAATCCGGAAAATTTTATATATAGAAACTGAGGAATATCCATGACTTTGTTATAAAAAAAAAAAAAGAAGAAATTATCTAAAACGAATAGAACTTTGTTTCTTTCAAAAAACTTCTCTTCAAATTCTATTAAAATTATAGTAACTTTAAACAGCTGTATTTCCAAAGTTAGGCGAAACTATTACTCGAATTTAGTCTTGTTAGAAGCGGGAAATCTTTCTCTTTAAAATGCTTTTCGTTTCATACCGATACGATTTTTGTTTCGCGAGATATGGTCCTCTAAAAAAAGAAGTAATTTTAAAGGAATTTCTACCTCTTCTTCTTCGTCGCTCTATCTCAAACTCCGCCATTGTCAGTGACAGACGCTGAATTACTGACCATCTTCTTTTTTTTTTTTTTTACTACCACTACGCATTTCCAGGAAAAAATATAGGTCGTACATGAATGGCCATTGAGCCAATCTTTGTATTTTAACGCTACGCTTCTCGATCTTTACAACTTTGAAACGATTAAAGATATTATTGGAATGAAAAACAAAAAGCATATTCAAGATCACGCTGTTCTTTATCCATCGACCGAAACGCTTCGAAAAAAAATTTCGCGACACCTTTTTATACTTTTTATTCGCGAAATTTGATTCTTCCGTACAATACGTACGAATACTCGCGAATTTTTTATCGAACATACGATAAATTTTTCACGAGAATTTTTGATGCATACTATTTGTATTATTCGATTGATACAAAATAAGAATGTTAACGAAATGCGGGAATATTTATGCGAAATTGTACGGGTCGAGTTGTAGGCTTTATTTCGGTGCATGAATAAAGGAATAAATTAATTATTTGGGTATGCAATTTCGCGTTATATAACGGTGGATATATACCAGGCCGAAATAAAGGCACAAAGTGTCCGGTGTAATTTTATCTTTCTATCTGAACATCTACATACTTTATTCATTAGCTAGAGAGGGTAGCGTTCTCGCAGGAAGTGGTATAATTTTGTACAAACGTCCCGGAATTCCATAAGTGTCAGTTTCATTCCTATTACTTAGAATTTATCACGTAACGTTACGTATAATTATATCCCCGCGACTCTATTTTCCACATAATGAAACGCTTGTTCCCGCAAAATCGAGGAAAAAATATCCATTAGATAGAAAACTACATACAAATTCCCCAACAAATAACCACAAATACGTTTCGATTCGAAACACCTTTTAAATAACTTTATTTCTCTTCCAAATTTCTTTTTCTTCTTCTTTTTCTTCTTCTTCCAACTAAAGAAACTCTTTTTCTCTCTCTATCACACACACACACAACCGTACGCGCGTACAGCAATTCCCGTTTTGCGAAACACACCCGTCCAACAAACCACCACCACCATATCCACTTCCACTGTTGCTCGAACACATAGAAGAGAAGACTATAGCGCGGGTTGTGCTCGACGTCGCACAATCGCTGACGTAGAATCGATGGGGAGCAATTTATATGCTACACCCCCTCCAAAGGGATCCCTCGAGGCGCAAAGGGTTGCATCGTGTCTTTTGATCGAGCGAAGCCATCGACGAGCCGGCCAGTCGGATATTGGACCGCTAACACGGGAATATTGCTTCCGTGCGGCGGCGAAAAAAAAAAAGAAAAAAAGGCAAAAAAAAAAAAACCCACGCCGAGATAAGAACGCGCTAATCAATTCCGTGTCCCGTCTCCCGCGCTTCGATGCATATTTTAATATTAATTCCGAGTTTCGTAACGGGGATCGGTTGTCGCAAGATTTTGCACCCTCTCTCGAATGGGATGTGTGGGGAGGATACGAAGTCCAGAGAACGTTAGTTTCAGGGAAGCGCGCACAAAGCGTTGCAACGCGGGATGTCCCTTTCCAGGAGGAAAGCAAGGTGATCAAAGCAAGGAGACGGAGGATGGAAGGGAACGATATCGAGGTAGCGTCGTGGGCGTAATACGGAAATTTCGCTCGAGGGCAGGGGCGTGCGTGGAACGTGGGCCTGGAAAAGGAACGACGGCGCAAAAGGTGAGGCCTCACGCGTTTCTGGAATTGTCATCAACGAGGATTTCGCCCCGTGGCGTTAAAATATTTCCACCAGGCTGATTCTGCTGCCACGCGCACACGGCTCCACATCCTGACCACCGCGCTCCTCGATGTCTTCTGTTCCATTCGAGAATCGTACACACCGGTTTATTATGGAAGCACGCGTGTCTGTCTCCTTCGTGTCTCGCTCGCGATCGTTATCAACCACTTGAGAAACACTGACGCGGCGATTTTCCAAGTTGATGAGAGAGAGAATTTCGATGAGAAAAGAACGACGCTACGTGACGATCGTATTGCGATTTTTCATGTTTCATTATCCACTGGTTCTTTTTTCTTTTTTTTTCGCGCGCGCGATGTTGTCGATGCGCGTTTTTACGGTTTTGGTCTTCGAGGATTTCAATCTCTTATTTGGGATTCTGCTCCATTTGAATTTTTATTCGTCTTCAATACATCCGGGTTGGAGCTATAGGAGTCGTGAACAATCGATGCGCCATTATTGCTTTTTACTAATATAATTGAATATAATTACAGCTCTTTTTACGATATTTAAAAGTAAAATGTATACGATATCGAATTATCAATTGATATCAAAAAATGAAAGTAGAGGGTGGCCAATTGTTTCATTCAATTTCAATCGGGAGCTCGAACGGAGATAGACACTTTTTCCCCGATATAAACGATATAAATATAAATATAAATAGAATAAAGAGAATTTTACCGAGGCTGTAACGTATCTCAAGATCGAAATAATAATGAAAAAATAACTTTGTCAAACAACTGGAGCACTTTATTACCGATATAATTCATCAAGCAATTCTCTCAATCGATACCCCCGTTCGTTGCAAGAATTCGTGGATGCCGCATCGTAGATGCAAATTACACGTTGCAAAGTTGCGTGAAGAGGGGCGATAATTACACGATCATCGCCCCTGTCTCTGCAGAATTGATTGGCGGTTGTTCGGCCGGGGCTAATCATTCCCTACGCCCCGAATCAAACTTCCCGGATGAAAGTTCCTGTCGATCCATTGTTGCCGCGCCCGCGCTTCCAACTTTCCCTCCAACGACGAGACGAGAGTCAATTAATTATCGCGCTCATAACGTCGGCCTGTATCCCGTTCATCGGGATCGGTGACGCGTGCCTCGAAATACTCGATCCCCGACCGATCCCCAGCCGCGAGCATTTCGAATCGACACCGCCCTCCGTGCACGCGTAATTACTGTTCGTTCAACTGGTTCCGCCTGCAATTCCCGTCCATCGTTTCCCGCGTTTCTGCTCGTTCAACTCGCGAAATTCGGCCGGCAGGAAACACGGGCGGAGGACGTGCACGCGTGAAATTCGTTTCTAATTGGTGGCAAGCGTCGCGTTAAAGCGTCGTTCCTTTCCTTTCCGATCGATCGATATACGATCGATATACGCCAATCGAACGGGATGTAAACGCCACTAATTTCGAACACTGACCAATTGAATGATCCGTGCTCCGCGAGTCGTTCAATAATTCCTTCCCTTGAACTTTCCCCCGTGAATTAACCGAGGGAAACGAGTTATAGAAAAGGGAGGGGGAGGGATATAAATATTGGCCCAAGAGAAATTAATTAACGTTGGCCGGCGAGACTCGTCGGAAAGATTCGTTAGGCGCGATTCGTTGGGAAAGGAGAGCGTTTTCCGCGTTTTAAATTCATCGGATCGGGCGGTGTGAAAAGGTGTGAAAG